CCGGATGTCCGGATATCAGCGCAATCGTGGTAGGTTTTCAAGTTAAGTATACGCCTCGAAATATTCAACATGTAGGTCATGAAATACGACCAAAGGAGTTACATTGATTCCAAGCCTAACATCGGTATAATACAGTGTCATATCATTAGAGAGAAGACTCTTAAAACAAGTTCGTTTCTTTTTGGAGACACTTAAATAGTCACGTATTTTACATTTGCAGATCAACATGAACTGATCAGTTTTGGATAGGTAATTTTAAACTCTACTAACTGGCTCTGTAAATCAGCCGAATGTCTTTGCGTCGTTTTCTCTGTCTCTCAAAGCGCCACGGGGGTGGCATTTAATATCAATACTACTAATACAATAAGTACTAATAACGATAACATTCGTTTCCGACTCGTTTATTGACTTCGGTACCGCGTTATTAGTTCAGAAAATACAATTATTCATCCGCTATGTTTATTTAAAGTTGCTTAGGCGCAGAATAGTTGATTTGCACTAAACAGTCTATTTTGCCATTGATTAATTAGAGCCAAATTGCAGTTGAATCAGTAAACCATGAAATTCGGAATCATTTTAAATGGTTTTAAATCTTATTTGAATTGCCGTTATCAACAAGTAAAATTAAATGATAATTTATCCTCTAAGTCTCTGACACCATGAGGTATCCCACCACAAGGTGCGCACTTATCTTCTTAGTTGTTTTCAATTTTATAAAGTATTTTTAATGAATATCGGTTCATGTTTTTTTTTTTCAATTTTGTCAGTGCAAACTTTTTGTAGATGACCTAAAACTCTATTACACACTTTCCAATTGCTCCACTCTTCAAGGTGATTACTGAAACGGTGGAAAGCTAATAAATTAAGTCTAAATCTGTTACCATTTGTGAAAAACACATCGTTGTACATGTGCTGTTGTAATTTTTTAATTACCTAGCCACTGTACTTGAGCCAATATAGTTTTTTTTAACAACAATAATAACGTTATGGGCAAAAGTCATCTTACTTTATTACTGGAGGTCATACCGCCCAGGTTTATCTGCTAGCTGGTGAAGAAGCAAAGCAATAAAACATGTCAAATCATTCGACGTCGGTATTGGTTGTGGATAAATTCCAACTCATCGTGTAATAAAAAGTGTTTAAAAATCGAGTAGGTAATATAAAAATTTTATCGCGTCGTTAGTGTTTGTGCCGAGTTACGACTTTTAGGTATTTAATGCGTCCAAAATACGTTTTTACCCATCAATATTATGTTGTTTGAATACCGGCAACGGAATAAAAACAAAATTGCTATATCTTTGAAAACGTGTGCTTGCACCGAAGGGGTGTTAGACTTTACGGACAAAAGTCGTGTACAGTGCATGTCTGTTATGAGCACGAGTGTTCTTCTATCTATAGCTTAGAGTTTTTCGTCCATAAAAACCCGCCTATAAAAAAGTATGTATTTTTTATTATTATTATTATTATTATTGATTTTTATTTTATTGTTATATTTATTCTCGATTTCATCGCGGTATACTACACTATATTATTATTATTATAGATACTTCTGCAATATACAGGTCAGCGGCCATTATTGTCGCTTTTACGACGGTAAACATATATAATAATATTATTTTATATCTCGTGATAGTAATATATGCGGTAAATCTCTGGAAAATATTTAAAAACAATAAAAAAAAGGGCCTAACCGTGCAGTGTTTATTTTAGACGACGCAGCTATTTATATATATATATATATATATTTTTTTTTTTTTGGATCTGTAAAAATATTATTAAATAAAAAATCACCGTCTCTCTCGTTGGACCCGTTGGATTATTTTATAATGTTATTTTAGCGTTTTCCCAAAATTATAAATTTTTTTTTTTAACAAAAAATATATTTAAAATCTAAACAGTAAGTAAACTAAGCAAATGTTGTGAAAGTTATACACGACATGACATATACATGACATTTGCCAACTGGTCGAGTGTTGGTATGTTTAAGTCTTTATGAAAGTTTTCATATTTTGTGAAATCATAATTTTAACAGCTCAAAATATACCCATTATCGTTTTATTGTTATTTTTTTCATATTTAGTGTAATAGTTCTCGATACAAGTATCAAAAACTATTAAGGAATTTGTAGTTGTTCAAGTTGAAACCAATTCAGGAAGATGGATTTTGTAAATAATTTAAGACTTTTAAAATTATAAGTTTAAATTTATTGTACATGTAAAATATAAGTAGACAAACTGCTACAGAGATGTATTTTGCTTGAGTCTAGTAATTCGTCTGGAGTAGCCCTAAGTTCTACTCCTATTTATATGGATATGGTAATCTGTGTAATGTGTTATTGTGTAAGTTGTGTTGAATTGATGGGCGGACGCTACAGCGGACGCACATCGTATGATTATTTTAATTGGTATTATTTTGCGATAAAATGGCAATAACATGTTTTTCCCAAATAGCTTATCTGAGCGGAACGGACTCTAAGTAGTTTTGATATATATATATATATATATATTTGTAATTTAAGTTAATCACTACGCCAGATAATCATGCAGGTGTACTCTGTACCGACCATAAGTCAGCCTTCGTATAAGTATGCCAATGCATGACTCAGAGTGCCATCATTATAATATGAGTAATATTATGCTTAGTGTAGTTGTGTGGTTTGTGTAAGGGCGTGTGGCGGTTACTGAAGGTTATATCATAACATTAGACATAACTGCAAACAACAATAATTAATAATGATGATAATCGTCGTTTGGCAAACGTTTGAAAACTTGAAAATAACAACATAATCCTTGACCTGGCTACTAGCTATACAGTGCAGCAGATTTATCCGATTGCTACTTGTTGTAGTAATACTTATTGCAATTGTATAATTGCAGTTTAATTTGAATGATAAATAACCGTTTATTTATAAATTACTCAATCGTTGATTCTCACAATTATTATTATTAAAATTGAAGACAAATATTATAATCCGTACACATACAAATATAGTGAGTAGAATTTACTTGGTTTCAACTCGGGTTGATGTAAGCTTTTTGGCTTGACCAAGGTACGGGGATCAAAACAAAACCCCCCAAAAAAAAATAAACCCTTTGATATTGTGCCCTAATGGTTTATTCAAGGTGTGTAATTCAATAGAACCGTTAGTATTGTTTTTTTGCACGTGTTGCAGTCAAAGCGAGGGTCACTAGCAACCCTCGTATGCTATAAAACAAACACTAGATGATATATTTTTTTTTTTATATTTTGTTATTATTGTTATCGTAGCAAAAAACAACCTAGGTCAATTACCGCAGTAAATACGGATTATCAAAAGGCCTACGAAGGCAGTAAACCTACTACAGCAAGCCAGACCCAGAATAATATTAATGAGCAGAAAATATCTAATAATAAATTGTACTTAGGTGTCTACTGAATATAATAAATTAAAAAAATAATATACCATGAAAAAATATAATTTTTGAATTATATTTTTTATTCTTGAATTTTATAATTTTGAGTCACATTGAAATAAGACGTCAGGAGTAGACACTACAGCAAGACATACACTATACACTTAATAATGTCTTACTGATGGTAATTCATTAAAAAGCCATTAAAGATTTTATTAAACCATTTTGTCTTTTTTGTAGACTGATAAGGAAGATTTGTTTGCATTTAGACGTATTAAACTTAAATCCTTTAATCCAATTTCTTAGATAACATTAAGAGAGTTTTAGGCCATCAGCGAAAAACATTAAACAATTACTGCTAAATCCCAAAATTATGGCAAATAAGAAAAGTTTATGTTGTTTTTACCTCTCCGGAGGAACTCATGGCGGAGAAACAAAAATGATCAGATAAAAACAATTTACTTTGACTTGCTGATATTTTTTTGTATTCAAATATAAGCTCAACCAACACAACAACGAGTCTGATATACAATACATTAGTATATTGTTAATAATGAGAAGGAATGGTCCACTGAGACAAAGGTATTGAACAATTCAATATTTAATATGTAACATGACATCTGTTTGAATAGAAACGTTCACCTGGAAAAATCCGGTCTTCGGTTACAAAATGATTTATGGTGATAATAATTAATATATTACACAGATGGAGTACTTCATCAACCTTTAATTTACCTTGATCTGGTTATTATATTTTTTATGTAATTTTTCTATAGCCAAAAGATGCAGTTATCTCGGGTTTCCATAACAGTGGCGTCTCGTATCTATTTTATACAATCACCGTGTATTGTGTGTATGCATACTGTGCCAGTAAAATATGTGTATTATATTCGAGTGTTATTATGTATTTTGTTAAAGTAAAAATGAATAAAATAAAAAAACCGTATCTGACGTCCTAAAGCATAGTTCGCAATAAATCAGTCAACTCAAAGTTTACAAGAAGTACAAGCTCCTCGTGAAAAATTTTCATCATTAAAAACGCATCACTAGTTTGGCAAGGGGGTAAAAACATAATAATTTGTGGAAAATAAAGATCACATTATACAAAGACACTATGAAAAAATAAAAAATAATTAAACCCAGTGAGATAATGAGTGGCCCATGATAAAAGAATCAACCTGTATGTCGAGCACTTCTACTTATATTAAAGAAGTTTATATGATTTCAAATGATATAACTCAAAGTGGATGTATATGTATTTGCTATTCAGACTAATATACATGGAAACGTACCCAATAAACGCTCTGTAAAACAGTGCATCGCAATTGAAAATTACAAAAAGCTTCGATGCGTTTTTTGTGAAATCAGTTTTAAGTATTCATATTTTATGTATAGAGCAAGCAGTATTTCCATTAGGCCGAATCATATTTTTATGTAGGTACCTAACGCTGTACCGGCTGTGCAAAAAATAGGTAAACAAACGGCACTGGTAAACAAACATATTTTTTTCAACTATCATAAATTCTAAATAGGACGCTTTTTTGTGCTAAGCGCGTAATAAATATCAAAATAATCCCAAGGTAAACGTTTTTGGTAAAACAGCTCAGCTGTTATTGTATTATGCACAGTTGTAACTCTATACAAGTTTGAAGTAAACCTGAAGTGTTTTTCACCATGTTCTGCGGTGTGACAATCAGATGTCTAGCTTTAGCAACGATAATATTGTGCCATCAACAACAGCTGGTGGTGCTTTGTGAATACAGTCAAGACGAACGGGTTATCATGCTGAAGGCGCTCCTCGACAATTCAGCATGGGGTGAGATTGACGATATTGGAGCCCAAAACGAAGAAGATTCGTTTACCGGTCTGGATTTATATTTAACTACAGTCGACGCGTCCAACATCGATAAAACATACCGCAGCACTATTCATATGCTAGCATGTGTATGTACAAATGCAGTGTTACATTTCATAACGTCGGTACAAAGCATAACACAACAATGCTATCGTGTGAACTGGTTGATGAAGAAAAGATTAGTAGAGCGAAGGCGTTACCGCCGAAAAAAAGTAAATGGCACATACTCGTATAATGTTTCCAGAGAGAAGCATTGTCCAAACTATACAAAACAATGGGAATTATTACACTTAGCAGTGCGTGAAATCAAAAAGAGTACTTACATGTTTATTTGCATATATGACGCGCTGGATTATCTTATGAATTTGGTACAGCTCGAAGAAAATTATTTAAATTTGAACTGGGTTTTACATAGCGTGGTAAGGTTGCAAGATTTAGTACTGAATATAAACGACAGATTACCAAATTATGAAGAGGGTTTCAAAAATGCAGACGATAGTTTTGTAGTTAAATTAAATGAAAAATTAAACAAATTTTTACATAATTTGGTAAGCTTGAAGTTGGTGCCATTCACAAACGCCTACTGCATAATAAGAGATAACGTTAAGGTATATGAACCCAAGCAAAGGTATACGATTAACAATGACATACCGGCTGTCAAATTGAAAATTAAAACAGTCATGGAAAAGATGGAAAGAAAATACTCGGAATTAGGTTTCAAGTACGTAAACAAATCCAATTAAATCACAACAAACTAGAAAATAGTGAAGTGTGACATTAACATAACATTTTATAATATATTAATATGTATATTGTATATATTTTTGTCGTCTTTTACTTAATTTTACAACATTATGTACAAGATAAAAATTTGATGATTGAAAACATTAATAAACACTCTGTAAAATAGTGAATCGCAATTTAAAATTTAAAAAAATTGATTTTACCATAATAAGGTGTGTTTAGATTTGGTGCGTTTTTTTGTGAAATCAGTTTTTAAGTATTCATATATTTGCTGTATAGAGCAAGATTTCCAAGGCCAGATCATATTATTATGTAGGTAGTAGGTACCTAACGCTGTGCCGGCTGGGCAAAAAATATGTAAGCAAACGGCACTGATAAACAAACATTTTATCACCTTACATAAATTCTGAATAGGACGCTTTTATTTACTAAAGCGTGTAAAAAATATAAAAATAATCTCCAGGTAAACGTTTTTGGTAAAACAGTTCAGCTGTTATTCTATTATGCACAGTTGTAACTCTATACAAGTTCGAAGTAAACCTGAAGTGTTTTTCATCATGTTCTGTGGTGTGACAATCAGATTTCTAGCTTTAGCAATGATAATATTGTGCCATCAACAACAGCTGGTGGTGCTTTGTGAATACAGTCAAGACGAACGGGTTATCATACTGAAGGCGCTCCTCGACAATTCAGAATGGGGTAAGATTGACGATATTGGAGCCCAAAACGTAGACGATTCGTTTACCGGGCTTGATTTATATTTAACTACAGTCGACGCGTCCAACGTCGATGAAACATACCGCAACACTATTCATATGCTAGCATGTGTATGTACAAATGCAGTGTTACATTTCATAACGTTGGTACAAAGCATAACACAGCAATGCTATCGCGTTGGCTGGTTGTTGAAGAAAAGATTTAGAGACCGAAGGCGTTACCACCAAATTAAACTACAGGGCACAATTAATGTTTTCAGTGACGATTATTGTCACAACTATACAAAACAATGGGAATTATTACACTTAGCAGTGCGTGAAATCAAAAAGAGTAATTACATGTTTATTTGCATATATGACGCGATGAATTATCTTATGAATTTGGTACAGCACGAAGAAAATTATTTAAATTTGAACTGGGTTTTACGTAGCGTGGTAGGGTTGCAAGATTTAGTACTGAATATAAACGACAGATTACCAAAATATCAAGAGGGTTACAAAAATGCAGACGATAGTTCTGTAGTTAAATTAAATGAAAAATTAAACAAATTTTTACACAGTTTAGTAAACTTGTATTTGGTACCATTCACAAATGCCTACTGCATAATAAGAGATAAGGTCAAGGTATATGAATCCAAACGAAGGTATAAGATTAATAACGACATACCGGCTGTCAAATTAAAAATTAAAACAGTTGTGGAAGAGATGGTAAGAAAATACTCGGAATTAGGTTTCAAGTACGTAAAACAAATCCAATTAAATCACAACAAACCAGAAAATAGTGAAGTGTGACATTAACATAACATTTTATAATATATTAATATGTATATTGTATATATTTTTGTCGTCTTTTACTTAATTTTACAACATTATGTACAAGATAAAAATTTGATGATTGAAAAATCTGATTAATTTCCAAAACTAGAAACCACTGTACATTTCAGTATGTCCTTAACTATTTTAATAACTAATACTAATTTCCTAAAAAATATAACAAACAATATACATTTAAGTCAGTTTTTAAAGTATTTTTGTAAATATGTATTCAATTTTGATAATAGGAGTTGTGGAACGGCTTGCTTAAAGCTACTGGACGACTGTATACAGAATGTTTCACAAAGATATGATAGATGTTTTTAAATGTATTTGTTCAGTTTTGTGCTATAAGCACCACGGGTTTTATTGCTCTTCAATACTATTGTAACTAAAGTACCTAACGCCGCGCCGGCTGTGCAAAATAATACAGTAAAACTACAATAAAAAAACAGCGAATTAAATCTTTGTTTATAGTTACTAGGCTTGACGACAGGTCGAATTTAGTTAAGTTTGTATAATATATACCTACATATGCAGATGTTTTTGAAGTATAAATAAGTCTATCTACATTGCCAGTTTTAAAAGATGCTATTCAAAATACTGGGAAGGGGGTAGAACGTCATAATTTGAAACATAATAATTGAGATCACATTATACAAAGACACTATGAAAAAAAAATTAAATTATTTATTAAACCCAGTGAGATAATGAGCGGCCCGTGATAAAAGAATACCCTGTATGTTGGGCACTTCTACTTTTATTAAAGAAGCATTTTTAATTGCAACTAAAACCAAACAAAAAAATAAGATATTATTTTCTAAATGCGGTATTGTTTAGTGTTTTTTTAAACAATGCATGTAAAAACTATTCGATTGGACACATTTGCGTGATAAAACATAATGTTAAACTTGATTTCCTACCAGAAGCATGATGTAAAAAAATGTTGGCTAAATTAAAAGTTTAACGATAGTATCTCCGAAAAAAATATACGGCCGATATGCATCTCTTACTTTGTAAGTTATCCAGAGTGCGGTTTTGCGGCGTAAAAAAAGTGTAGTAAAGGGATGCATAGCATTTGGTGTGTGCTCTACGGGGTAGTATAACGTGGCCTTGAAGATATTTATCGATTTTCCACGCTGGTCGTTTCCCCACTGCGGCCGAAAAGACTTGTAATTTGTCCCAGTCGATCTAGACCGTGTGTGGATATTTTTTTATCGTGTCACACGGTGTACATTAATTATTAAAAAAAACGTTAAAAAAATTATCAACAGGCCAAGACAGCAGTCCGAACGACTGTGGAGAATGGTATGACGTGCAAGTTAAAAACAATAAATCCAGTGGGCACGGAACGATTTTTTTATAGGGTTTTTTTAACATTTTTTTACACTGATATCCGTACAATGTTTTAATGTGGCAGCTGCGTTTAACTAAACCGTACACACACACGAACCGACCGCAGTCGTTGGTAATTGGCACAGAAGGCTTATCCCGTGACCCTGCCCACCCTCCTCATTTGACCTAAGTGTGTGTGTGTGTGTTATGCGATCCGGCTAATTAGTTAACAAACTCACACTCCAACAGTGCTGGGCGATTGGCTAATATTGTAGGATACGAGATAACGTGTAATCGTTTGGATGAGTTAAAAATGTTTCACTATCTCCATCCGATGTATTATATTATGTCATTCATATTTCAAAACACGGACAGAATATTATATTATTATCATTGGGGAGGGCCAAAGCCCCAAAAGGGTTTTTTGCAGAAAACCGCACCCCACGCACGTTTATGTCATTAGCAGCCGTTTAGCGAATTACATTATTTAAGCTGGACGCGACGGGTCGGGTCTCGGAAGGACCGCGTCCAAAGAGGATATCCATTGAGCCGTACACATACTTAGGCTGTGCATATATTTACGTTTCAATTAACCTCACGACGGTCCCGGAGGATGTTAAAGGTCAACGAAACAACACCGAAAACGTTATTAGTTTCCAACAGGTACACAACCGACAGTATTATTATAGAACGTCACGGTATTATAGTGTTATACAATCCTTTTGGGAAAAAAATATATATATTAAGGTGGTCCTTACTCCTTAAAAAGTCTATTTTCGAATTTTAACCACGACATGCATCTCAAAAGTTTGTAAATACAATAAAAATAAGATAAAAAAAAATAAAGAATTGAAAAATGCTAATATTAACCCGTGTCCCACGAGGGTTGAAGTTTAAATAGAATTTCGACAATTGTGCACAAATCAATGCATATATTAGTAGGTAAAGGGTAAACTTTACCTACTACTTAGTTTGAGCTGAAATTTGTATGGTTTTATAGCTCGGAGTCCGCTGAAGACGGACGCTATACAGGTATGAACTATACCTGTCAACATAGTTGCTAGAAAAAGAAAATTTAACAAAAAATAGTCGGTTTTTCATCGTTTGCTACAACCTTGGAAAGATATTACATTTTCCCTTATAAGTGTCATAATTTGCCTTTCACTTTTATTTTAATAGCATACAAAATAATAGTTTATCATGCGAGCTTAACCGGCTATATAGGCCCAACGCTACCATCGTGTGATGGTTACTAGACGAGTACGAACCTGGGACGGGTAAGCAGCAAAATATAGTTAATATTGTATTATAATGGATAATATTTTTATAATCATGGACTCTATAAAAAAAACACTATATTATACATATGACACGCGAACATTAGGTGTTTTTAGATCATTTTTTTGAAAAAATCATAATAACCTATCATACATTCGCACACACGTTAGATGATTTTAAATGAAAGGACTCAAATCGGATGTACATGCATTTGCTATTCAGACTAATATACATGGCAACGTACCTAATAAACACTCTGTAAAATAGTGAATCGCAATTTAAAATTTAAAAATTGATTTTACCATAATAAGGTGTGTTTAGATTTGGTGCGTTTTTTTGTGAAATCAGTTTTTAAGTATTCATATATTTGCTGTATAGAGCAAGCAATATTTCCATTAGGCCAGATCATATTATTATGTAGGTAGTAGGTACCTAACGCTGTGCCGGCTGGGCAAAAAATATGTAAGCAAACGGCACTGATAAACAAACATTTTATCACCTTACATAAATTCTGAGTAGGACGCTTTTATTTACTAAGCGTGTAAAAATTATAAAAATAATCCCCAGGTAAACGTTTTTGGTAAAACAGTTCAGCTGTTATTCTATTATGTACAGTTGTAACTCTATACAAGTTCGAAGTAAACCTGAAGTGTTTTTCATCATGTTCTGTGGTGTGACAATCAGATTTCTAGCTTTAGCAATGATAATATTGTGCCATCGACAACAGCTGGTGGTGCTTTGTGAATACAGTCAAGACGAACGGGTTATCATGCTGAAGGCGCTCCTCGACAATTCAGCATGGGGTAAGATTGACGATATTGGAGCCCAAAACGTAGGCGATTCGTTTACCGGTCTTGATTTATATTTAACTACAGTCGACGCGTCCAACGTCGATGAAACATACCGCAACACTATTCATATGCTAGCATGTGTATGTACAAATGCAGTGTTACATTTCATAACGTTGGTACAAAGCATAACACAGCAATGCTATCGCGTGAACTGGTTGACGAAGAAAAGATTTAGAGACCGAAGGCGTTGCCACCGAATAAAACTACAAGGCACAATTAATGTTTCCAATGACTATTTTTGTCACAACTATACAAAACAATGGGAATTATTACACTTAGCAGTGCGTGAAATCAAAAAGAGTACTTACATGTTTATTTGCATATATGACGCGATGAATTATCTTATGAATTTGGTACAGCACGATCAAAAAAATAATTTAAATTTGACTTCGGTTTTACGTAGCGTGGTAGGGTTGCAAGATTTAGTACTGAATATAAACGACAGATTACCAAAATATCAAGAGGGTTACACAAATGCAGACGATAGTTCTGTAGTTACATTAAATCAAAAATTACACAAATTTTTACACAGTTTAGTAAACTTGTATTTGGTACCATTCACAAATGCCTACTGCATAATAAGAGATAACGTCAAGGTATATGAACCCAAACTAAGGTATAAGATTAATAATGACATACCGGCTGTCAAATTGAAAATTAAAACAGTTGTGGAAGAGATGGTAAGAAAATACTCGGAATTCGGTTTCAAGTACGTAAAACAAATCCAAATTAATCACAACAAACCAGAAAATAGTGAAGTGCGACATTAACATAACATTTTATAATATATTAATATGTATATTGTTTATATTTTTGTCGTCTTCTACTAAATTTTACAACATTATGTACAAGATAAAAATTCGATTATTCAAAAATCTAATTAATTTCCAAAAAAAGAAACTACTGTACATTTAAGTAAGTCCTCAACTATTTTAATAACTAATGCTAATTTCTTAAAAAATATAACGAACAATATGCATTTGAGTGAGTTTTTAATGTATTTTTGTAAATATGTATTCAATTTTAGTAAGAGGAGTTATGGAACGGCTTGTTTAAAGCTACTCGACGACTATATACAGAATGCTTCACAAAGATATGACAGATTTTATTTAAATTTATTTGTTCAGTTTTGTGCTATAAACACCACGGTTTTTATTGCTCTTCAGTACTATTGTAACTAATGTACCTAACGTCGCGCCGGCTGTGCAAAATAATAAGTAAACAAACGGCACTGATAAACAAACAATTTTTTACCTAACATAAATTCGAAATAGGAAACTTTTTTTGTGCTAAGTGCGTAAATAATATAAAAATAATCCCCAGGTAAACGTTTTTGGTAAAACAGTTCAGCTGTTATTCTATTATGCACAGTTGTAACTCTATACAAGTTCGAAGTAAACCTGAAGTGTTTTTCATCATGTTCTGTGGTGTGACAATCAGATTTCTAGCTTTAGCAATGATAATATTGTGCCATCAACAACAGCTGGTGGTGCTTTGTGAATACAGTCAAGACGAACGGGTTATCATAC